AAATTATTACTTAATTATTTATAAATTAATTTTATTTTATTTAATAAAATAATTATTATTAATTTTAATTTATGTATTATTATTTAAATAATAATTAAAAAATTTTGTTATAAATATATTAAAACGGATGTGCTACATCCGTTAACGGATGTGGCGACATCCGTTGCATTTTTTTTTTGATTTTTAGTTTTTTTTTTTAATTTTTTTATTTTAAATTAATGTATAAATATTATTTAATTATTTTAAAATTATTACTTAATTATTTATAAATTAATTTTATTTTATTTAATAAAATAATTATTATTAAATTTAATTTATGTATTATTATTTAAATAATAATTAAAAAATTTGTTATAAATATATTAAAACGGATGTGCCACATCGATGTGGCAACATCCGTTGCCTTTTTTGTTTTTTTTGTTTTTAATTTTTTATATTTTAAATTAATATATATTATTTAATTTTTTAAAAATTATTATTTAATTATTTATAAATTAATTTTTTTTATTTAATAAAATAATTATTATTAATTTAATGTATATATTATTATTTAAATAATAAATAAAATACTTTTTAAAAATTTATTAAATGGATGTGGCACATCCGTTAACGGATGTCAACATCCGTTGAAGGTGAAACGGATGTTGACATCCGTTTTATAGAAGGGCAAATTAGGTATGAAGAGGTGCAGGGAGTGGTTGGTGGTGGTGGAGGGAGCAACTCCCTAGTCTTTTTTATTCCTTAGAAGTCTGATTTCTCCCATTGAATATTTCTCCTTTCTTATGAGACTAATTGCTCTTATGTTTTTATTTTATTTTATTTTTTAATTCAAAACATAAAAGTTTTTAAAAAAATCAAAATTTAAAACAAATTTTATTTTTTAAATGATATATTAAAGTTTTATTGGATATAAATATCATAAAAAATAAAATAAACTTTTACTTAAGAAAATATATTAATCAATAAAATCAATTCTACAATAATTATACGAAAAATTAAATATATAACATAATATAAAATAATCGAATAAGATAATATTATTTAAAAAATATATAATAATTATATTATAATTAATTTTTAATTTGTGCCATGTTTAATTTTTTATATTCAAATAAATTAGTTTAATTTATTTAATTTTTATATTTAAATATATTTGGTATACTTAATTTATTTTTATTTAAAAATTTTTAGTAAATATATCTAACTTAAGTTCATTAAGATTAAATTTTTATGTTTAATTTATTATAAATATTTCTCTTAAGCTTTTTTTTTTACTATAATATACTCAGTATATAATAATACATGTATCTCGTGTTTTATATTTTTAATTTTGTCATTCCTCTTTTTTCTGCTGGTATCCGTGTCCCTATCTTTGATTTTTCGTCATTCAGTCTTAAATATTCAAAATGTTTTAGGTAATTAGTTCTTCCACCCTATCATTTTCTTTCGAAACCATACCACTTCTCCTATCAATCCCAGAATTTATCTCCGAAACATAATAAACAGTTTTGGAATTTTTTTTTTCCGGAAATCAATCACTTCATGGACATTTTCTGGATGTTTTTTAATAGTATGATATCTAGGCCAAACGCTTAAGAGAGTTGACCGATCGATTAGTTAGATTGGGTCGCAGTTGGACCAGCGATTGCGTGACTTATGCTAAGAGTAATACGTTGATGAGCCAATAAATAATTGGGTCAACGCTTAAATTATTACTGGGCTAATAGTCCAGTAGAAGATAAAGTAATCAAAGATATCTGATTAAAGATATTGATCAAATATTGATAAAACTGTTTATGAGCAACCGACCGGATTTTAAGATAAATCTGTTTAAGGTAAGTTCGTTTATATTTTATTGGACTTATGAAAACCTATAAGTACAGAGCCAGGGCAAAAAGCCAGGTACGTTCTATTTACACTATACTGAGTTTACAATACTCAATTACGATAACACTTATTAGTGAGCAAAACTCCTTCAACAGACGCCTAACTTGAGCGTCAGAGTGCCTTTGCAGGTACCTCTCCCCCCTTTTCTATCAAGAAGGTAGCCGAGTGGTCATAGCGGGGAGAAATTGAACGGTCCGAAAACGAGCGACTCAAGCAATCAGACGATCGTAAACAAGGAAAGTACATTAAACAGGTTAGTATCTCGGTCCCACAACACCCACACTGAAACATTTTGGCGCCTACCATGGGGTCCGAGGCTTGAAGACACCCAATGGTGACCACAAGAAACATGGAAGAGCATAACACCAGAGATCTAATTAGAGAGTTACAAGCCCAGATCGAAGCACATGCACAAACCATACAAGAACAACAAGAGTTATAGCGGAAACAGGCAGAAGAAATTGCGACCTTAAGGGCACAACGACCCCCACTCGAACTATCCGCCTCAAACATAAATGGGGATAATGAGGGTAGTCATAACGGGGAACGATCTGCCCATACTGAACCTGGCGGTCAGGGGAGAAGGGAACTCACACCAACACCCCTTCAAACTATTTGGCCTACCAGTCTACTTCCGTTTACAGCGATCATCATGCAAACTCTTATGTCGGAGAAACCTCCTCCAACATTGGAGAGATACGATGGCTCGGCGAACCCTGATAACCACCTCAGGATCTTCACCAATGCGATGACATTCTACACAAATAGTGATCCAGTCATATGCAGGGCTTTCTCCTTGTCGTTAAGGGATGAAGCACTGGAATTATACCATACCCTCCCTCTAGACACGGTAGACTGCTTTGCCACGGTAGAAACTCTTTTTAGAAAACAATATGCATCCAATCGAAAGCGAGAGATGACGCTAGCAGAATTGGTAAACACCAAGCAGGGAAAAGATGAAACCTTAAAGGCGTTCATCCAAAGGTACAACGAGACTGCGCGACGGGTGAAAGATGCGAATCACACTTTTGTCATTAATAACTTGTCGTCATGTTTAAAACCAGGCTATTTTTCTGAACAATTGTATGCCAAACCACCAAAATCTATGGAGGAACTCCAGGAGAGGATTGCTGAATTTATTCGTATTGAGGACATGAGAAACTCAAGGAAGAAGCAACATGAAGTCCCCACCAATGAGAGCAAGAAAGAAGGGAAGCAATTTTCCAACAAAAACGACAGGCCTCCCCGAAAGGAACTCACCTAGACGCCTAAATATGATCATTATACACCTCTTAACGCGCCTACGACAAAAGTACTCGAGGAAGCCCTTCACGCCGAACTACTCACGGTTCGAAAAAGACCCTCCCCAAAGAATGCCGACAAAGGAAGAATTTGTCATCTTCATCAAAACCATGGCCACTCCACCGAAGAATGCACCCTAGTGAAGGATGAAATAGAAAGGTTCGTTCGGGCGGGCTATCTCCAAAAGTATGTTAGAGAGGAGGGAGCTAAAATGAGAAGTCCTCTTAGAGGGAGAGCTTCACGTAGAAGCCCTGAACGACCATCTCGAAAAGACGACCGACGTAGGAGGTACTCCCGAAGCCACAATCGTGATCATGAACAGGAAAGATCCATCCGCGGGCGATTTGATACCATATCGGGAGGCTTCGAAGGGGGAGGGGCATCATCTTCAGCCCGAAAAAGACACTTAAGGAGTCTGAAAATTGTTTGCATGGTAGATCGACAACCCCGATCCATGCTAGATATTACTTTTACCAATGCAGATTTTCACGCACCAGACCCCGATCAAGATGATCCCATGGTCATCATTGTCGAGATAACACGGTACGATGTCACTAAAGTGTTGATTGATCAAGGTAGTTTGGTCAACATCCTATATTGGACTACGTTCCTAAAAATAGATTTATCCAAAGACATAATAGCCTCATTCAGTGAGAAAATTGTGGGGTTCGCAGGAGAAATATTAGATACTCGAGGATACCTAGACTTGAGAACTCGACTCGGGACAGGTAAGGAGGCAAGAGAGATCAGAATAAGGTTCTTGTTGGTAGAAGCAAACACTTCTTACAATGCACTACTAGGGAGACCCTGCCTGAATGCTTTCAGAGCCATTGTATCCACCCCTCACTTAGCTATGAAATTCCCGTCCGATAAGGGTAATATCTGTACGGTGAGAGTCGATCAACGAACGGCTTGATAGTGTTATGTTGCTGGCCTAAAAGTCACACCCTTTGTATCACCAAAGAAGTCTAGGGGTGCAGAGACAGCAACGATCAACCTTGACCCAAAAACCAACATCGACGATCGCATCCAACCCTAGGGAGACGTCAAGATGTTCACACTGTAAAAAAATGAGTCACAAAAAACATCCATGGGAGGAGGGCTGGAGCCGAACGATGAGTCTAATTTGGCAGAAATGTTGAAAGCAAATGCCGATCTGTTCGCTTGGGTAGCCTCCGATATGTTAGGCATCCACCTAAGTGTCATGACGCATAAATTAGCCATATTTAAAGAAGCACGGTTGATCGCTCAAAAGAAGCAAAGATTTGGTGAAGAAAAGCGATACGCTATACAGGTGGAGGTCACCAAGCTACTACAAGCCCAGTTCATCAAGGAGGTAACCTGTACTACATGGTTTGCAAACGTCGTTATGGTTAAAAAAACCGAATGGCCAGTGAAGAATGTGTGTCGACTTTACAATCTAAACAAGGCGTGTCCTAAGGATTCCTACCCTCTCCCAAGCATTGACAGTTTGGTGGACGGAGCTTCAGATCACGCAGTGTTAAGCTTTCTGGACGAATACTCGGGATATAACCAGATCCCGATGTACGTACCAGATCAGGAAAGGACAACTTTCGTAACCGAGCGGGCCAATTACTGTTATGAGGTAATGTCGTTCGGTCTAAAGAATGCAGGTGCCACTTATCAGCGTCTCATGGATAAAATTTTCCACCACCAAATTGAAAAATGCATGGAAGTATACGTCAACGATATGGTGGTCAGAAGTCAATCAGTGGAGCAACACTTAAAAGACTTAGTTGAAGTCTTCCTTCAGGTTCGACAGTATGATATGCGGCTAAATCCCTCAAAATGCACCTTCGGTGTACCATCCAAAAATTTCTTAGGGTTTACGCTAACCTCTCGAGGAATCAAGGCCAATCCGGATAAATGCCAAGTGATCTTGGAGATGCAAAGCTCCACTAATCTGAAAGAGGTGCAACGCCTAATGGGTCGACTAACAGCTTTGTCACAATTCATCCCAATATTGGCGGAGCACATAAAACCTATTCTTAAGAACATGAAGAAAGGAATCATGCAACACTAGGACGATCAGTGCAAAAAGGCTCTTACTGCTATCAAAGATATCCTCAATATCCCACCAATTATGGCCCGACCAATACCAGGGTATGACTTATAGTTATACATAACTGCATCAAACAACACTGTGAGTGCGGCTCTCATCTAGGAAGCCCTAGAATTCAAGTTGATTTATTTTGTCAACAAGGCCTTACAGGGGGAGGAAGAGCGATATTCCCAAATAGAAAAGGTGACTCTAGCCTTGTTAACAGTAGCCCGCCGTCTCCGACCGTACTTTGAGAGCCATCAAGTGGTAGTACGAACGAACCATCCAGTTGCTAAAATTCTCAGGAAACCTGACTTGGTGGAAGGATGGTTTCTTGGTCCATTGAGCTCTCCGAGTTCAGTTTATGCTTTGAACCTCGGGGGTCCATTAAGGGCCAATATCTAGCAGATTTCACCTTTGAATTAACATTTATACCTGATGGCTCAATGCAGTTATGGTATCTCAATGTAGATGTCTCCTTAGATAGAAAGGGAGGGAGAGCCGATATCGTTCTAGAAGGGTGATAACAGTTGAAAAACTGTTATTTTCATGATTAAAATTGACACTAAAAGAAACCTTTACACTTAGAAACTAGCTTGAAATCATGCTTTTCTTTATATTTTTGGAAATAAGAGAGCTGGACAGGTTTATGCTTGATTTCAGTGTTTTTGTGCAGGTTTTAAGGTGAATTTGGTGAAAGAAGTGAAGAAGGAGAGAGATGAAATCAGAAAAGACAACAAAAAGTGCAAAAGGAGAAGCCGAAGTCACCGCTCAGCGGCAGTTTACCGCTGAGCGGCACTCAGGAGTTTGCGGGAGGTCCGCTGAGGGGAGAAAACAAGTCACGCAATCACCGCTGAGCGGTAGTTTACCGCTGAGCGGCACTTTAATGGGCTTGGACTTGACTTTTTGTAATTTACGAATGATACATAAGCTTTAGGGTTTCCTAGGGTTAGGTATCTCTGGCTGGAACGAGGCAAACACTCTCTCTACCACCCCTTTGAAGGAGGATCTTGGATGCTGAGGCTTCCGCTTCACCTTTTTAGGGTTTATTCTTTCATTCTTTCATTGTAATTCATCTAGGTTCACCATGAATATGGTGAACTAACCTCTTTATGTTTGTTGGGGAATCAATGTAGTCTTGTGAAACTCTCATATATGGAATCTGTTTTTACATCTTTTAATTAAGACTTATGCTTTCTTTCATCATTAGTTAGGGTTTTTCCTCTTTGTTTAATGCTTGCATGGTTTAACTCATTCGATGCATGATTATTGGTTTTGTCGATACGGGAACGTACGGGGAAGTCTAGATCCGGGGAATTTCTCCCAATTTTATATTGGTTGTCGTTAAGCTCCTGTACTTATGAACTAATCATTAGGAATGCTAGGAATTGTATGAACTCGTGATTAGGGAGAAGCCTTCTGGAAAGGTACATTAGAGAGTGGCATTAACAATGGTGATTTGATCGTTGAATTCCTAAAATATATGAGAGTGGATAAGATGAAATTGAACCCCAACAACATATCCATACATAAATTTCATTGAAAGTGTTTATCTTTTGCTTTTTGCCATTGATCACAATTCATGCATACATGTTTATTTTCTGTCTTGCATTTTAAACCCCAATTAATTCGTTTGTAAGTCTTAGTTAATTAAGAAATCACATAACTAAACTAGGCCGTGAGTCCTTTGGGAAGAACGATACTTGGTCTTACCAAGTTTTATTACTTGAACGATTCGGTCATACTTGCCGATTGAAAACAAGTTTGTGACATCATAATTTGGTGTTCATAAATTTGTCCATCAAAGGGTCGACCGGTATCGTTATTGAGCAAACAATAACTTTTTGTTTTCAAACCAGCAACAATCAAGCAGAGTACGAAGCCTTGATCATCGGCCTAACTCTAGCCAAAGAGCTAGAAATTGCTCATTTAGAATGTCGAATGGACTCGTAGCTAGCCGGCGAACACATGAAAGGGACCTTCTAGGTCAAAGACAATCAATTGATGCGTCATTTCCACAAAGCAAGCAATCTCCTTAAAACTTTTATCAACATCAACGTTGTTCACGTCCCAAGGGAACAAAATTCCAGAGTAGATCTCCTGTTTAAGTTAACTCATTCAAAAGAGAAAGCACAACTGTCTTCAGTCATCAAGATGATGCTCGACAAATTTGCGATTGAAACCTTTGCCACCGATGTAGCGGCACCCAAAGCCGACTGGCAGCAAAGCATACGAGAATTAATGAAAAATCAAGAACAAGGAGAAAAGGTTAGTATCGCCGACTCTAGACGTATTGCGCATGTTTTATATATAGGTGATGACTTGTACAGGCGAGGATACACCACGCCACTGTTAAAATGTCTATCGGAAGAAGAGGCAGATTACGTCCTGTGGGAACTTCACCACGGAATATGTGGTTTGCACTCAAGAAAGCGCACCCTTAGGGCCCGAATACTGCGAGCAGGGTATTATTGGCCAACAATGGACCATGACTGCGAATCGTTCGTCAAGAGGTGTATATCCTGTCAAGCACATGGCAACAAATTTCGAGTCCCTCCTGAAGAGTTTCATGGTATTGTCTCACCATGGCCGTTCGCCCAATGAGGAATGGATATAGTCGGACCACTGCCGATTGGGAAAGCACAAAGTAAATTTCTCTTGGTGGCGATAGATTATTTCACAAAGTGGATCGAGGTGGAAGCATTAGCTGTCATAAGCGCTCAACACGTACAAAAATTTATTTGGCACTTAATATGTCGATTTGGTCTGCATCAGAAGATTGTCACAGATAATGGTCGATAGTTCATTGAGAGGAAGCTTGAAGAATTCCTTGAGAACTTGGGGATCAAACATGTCACCAACTCGGTGGAGCACCCACAAACAAATGGACAGGCTGAAGC